TTTCAATAAGCCCAAATTAGTTTTCAATAATTTTGAACAACTTATAATCGCTTTGGAGCAATTTTAAAACATTTAGACATGTTTAGGTTGATTACCAATTTGTTTTTAATCATTTGGAACAATTTTTCTATTTTGTAAATGTGTTTTGAACAACATTAAATTCAGTTTTTAATCGTTTTGAACAACTTTGGAGTAATTTAACACATTTAGACAAGCTTTGGTTGATTACCAATTAGCTTTTAATCACTTTGAACAACTTTTCCATGTTGTATATGAGTTTTGAACAGAATTAGATGTCGTCTTTGATACTTTTGAACAACTTTTAGCCGTAATGAATCAGTTCTCAATCATTTAGACAAGCTTTCAATAAGCCCAAATTAGTTTTCAATAATTTTGAACAATTTATAATCACTTTGGAGCAATTTTAAAACATTTAGACATGTTTAGGTTGATTACCAATTTGTTTTTAATCATTTTGAACAATTTTTCTATTTTGTAACTGTGCGTTGAACAACTTTAAATTCAGTTTTTAATAGTTTTGAACTACTTGATACGGTTTTTAACCAATTCCTAATCGTCTAGACAAGTTTTCAATAACGCCAAATTAGTTTTCAGTAATTTTGAATCACTTGTAATAGCTTTGGAGCAATTTTAAAACATTTAGACAAGTTTTAAATTATTACCAATGCGTTCTTAATCACTTTAAGCAACATTTTTAAGTTGTAAACGTTTTTAAACAACTTTAGATGCAGTTTTTAAGGGTTTTCAACAACTTAGAATGGTAAGGAAGCAGTTTATAATCATTAAGACAAGTTTTTAATAACACCAAATTAGTTTTCAGTAATTTTGAACGACTTGTAATACATTTGGAGTAATTTTAACACATTTAGACAAGTTTTGGTTAATTACCAATTAGTTTTTAATCACTTTGAACAACTTTTCCATGTTGTATATTAGTTTTGAACAGTATTAGATGTCGTTTTTGATACTTTTGAATAACTTTTAGCCGTAATGAATCAGTTCCCAATCATTTAGACAAGCTTTCAATAAGCCCAAATTAGTTTCCAATCATTTTGAAGAACTTATAATCGCTTTGGTGCAATTTTAAAACATTTAGACATGTTTAGGTTGATTACCAATTTGTTTTTAATCATTTGGAACAATTTTTCTATTTTGTAAAGGTGTTTTGAACAACTTTAAATTCAGTTTTTAAAAGTTTTGAACAACTTGATACGGTTATTAACCAATTCCTAATCGTTTAGACAAGTTTTCAATAACGCCAAATTAGTTCTCAGTAATTTTGAACNACGTTGACATTCTTAACCGGAAGTTGACCATAACTTCATTAATATTGAAGATAAATATGTCGTGTTTGTACTCATTTTAAAGGATTTTTAATGAAGATTACAAATATGTCAAAATTGAGGTTGACATTTTAAACCTGAAGTTAGTTATCATATAATAGAAGTTTTATAACTGAAGTTTAGTCACTTTTCCGCACTTTTTTTTATTTTTAACGTGTTTTTTTAGAGAGATTTCTCAACATTGTTCATTTGTCGCTTAGTCAAGTGTAATTCTATTCCAATTATTATCGATTTTGTTTTCTTTTGTTAGAATCACAATTTCACTAGATAAGGATTTCTCGAAGACTTTCTAGGAAGAGTTGATTTAGTTTCTAAATCAGCACTTTGAAATGAAAGAAAAAGAGAAAAAACAGCTCCAAGAATGTTTAGTTTAATTTAATTTAATCATTTTAAAATACCGGAAATTGAAATTTTATGAAAATTTAGATCACTGAGCTTTCCATTTTGAACGATGACATCTAAACCTAAAAACAGCGGCTATAAAAATTGTAATGATGCTAAATGATAATAAAGGAGAAGATTATTTGGGTGCGGAGCTTTAACGTCAAATTAGTAATAATAATAATAACCGTTAAAATAATTTGAGATGCGCGAGGTTAATTGTTTTTGCACTAATTACTCTCGAAATTGGTTAAGAACGATTTTTTTTCGTGGAAACGGTACAAAAACGTTTTGCATGTTACACTCTATGATTTTCTGGTTAACCACGAAAAAAAACTCAAATTCTTCTCTCAAAAAGAGAACCTAATTAGAACATTAAGTTTTCATCATTAAATATTAGAAAAGAAATAGACCACGAAGAACAAAGAGAATACAAAACTTTTTTAAGTGACAATCATGTAAAGAGCAGAAACCGTGGAAAAAGCGAGCTCGTGAACTCGCTTCGGCAATGAAACTTTGAGGTCAATGACAAAAATACGCTCCGGTTGTAAGCAGGAAGGAAGTTCAACAAAAACTTTAAAAAGTTCATTTCAAAACATTTAAATCGAAAAAAATTAATTAATTTTGTAACGTTTTCACTTTCCCTTTATTTCGAATTCGAAAAGATTGCATTTTATTGCGTGTGTGAGTTACACCTTCTTACAAAACAGCTGATTTAAACCAATCTTTTTCTCGCATTTTATTACACTTACAGTTTCTAAACTGGTCTTTATTTCAAACCGCAAATAGATCTAGTTTTCATTTTACAGTTGCTGCATAAAATCCAGAAAATATAATCAAACAATGTTGAACAATGAAAGAAAAGTGTTAATGTTTAAAAGGACAATGAGTTTTAACTTAAACAGGGTGCGTTTAAAACTGTGTAACGAAGTTTTTGTGATTTTTCTTTTATTTCTAATTGTTAATGAGTGTAAGTGTAACAGACCGCCAAGATTTCTAACGGATGGACTACCGGAAATCGTATTGAGATTAAAAGAAGGATACGAAACACCGATAGGTAATTTTTTTTACAACAAACTTTTTTCTCCCATAACTAATCCATTAACAATTCTCTAAGCCAATTTAAATTAACCAAATACAATTTGAATCTAGAACATAACCTCATTTTTAAATTTTTAGACAAGTTTTCAATAAGCCCAAATTAGTTTTCAATAATTTTGAACAACTTATAATCGCTTTGGAGCAATTTTAAAACATTTAGACATGTTTAGGTTGATTACCAATTTGTTTTTAATCATTTGGAACAATTTTTCTATTTTGTAAATGTGTTTTGAACAACATTAAATTCAGTTTTTAATCGTTTTGAACAACTTTGGAGTAATTTAACACATTTAGACAAGCTTTGGTTGATTACCAATTAGCTTTTAATCACTTTGAACAACTTTTCCATGTTGTATATGAGTTTTGAACAGAATTAGATGTCGTCTTTGATACTTTTGAACAACTTTTAGCCGTAATGAATCAGTTCTCAATCATTTAGACAAGCTTTCAATAAGCCCAAATTAGTTTTCAATAATTTTGAACAATTTATAATCACTTTGGAGCAATTTTAAAACATTTAGACATGTTTAGGTTGATTACCAATTTGTTTTTAATCATTTTGAACAATTTTTCTATTTTGTAACTGTGCGTTGAACAACTTTAAATTCAGTTTTTAATAGTTTTGAACTACTTGATACGGTTTTTAACCAATTCCTAATCGTCTAGACAAGTTTTCAATAACGCCAAATTAGTTTTCAGTAATTTTGAATCACTTGTAATAGCTTTGGAGCAATTTTAAAACATTTAGACAAGTTTTAAATTATTACCAATGCGTTCTTAATCACTTTAAGCAACATTTTTAAGTTGTAAACGTTTTTAAACAACTTTAGATGCAGTTTTTAAGGGTTTTCAACAACTTAGAATGGTAAGGAAGCAGTTTATAATCATTAAGACAAGTTTTTAATAACACCAAATTAGTTTTCAGTAATTTTGAACGACTTGTAATACATTTGGAGTAATTTTAACACATTTAGACAAGTTTTGGTTAATTACCAATTAGTTTTTAATCACTTTGAACAACTTTTCCATGTTGTATATTAGTTTTGAACAGTATTAGATGTCGTTTTTGATACTTTTGAATAACTTTTAGCCGTAATGAATCAGTTCCCAATCATTTAGACAAGCTTTCAATAAGCCCAAATTAGTTTCCAATCATTTTGAAGAACTTATAATCGCTTTGGTGCAATTTTAAAACATTTAGACATGTTTAGGTTGATTACCAATTTGTTTTTAATCATTTGGAACAATTTTTCTATTTTGTAAAGGTGTTTTGAACAACTTTAAATTCAGTTTTTAAAAGTTTTGAACAACTTGATACGGTTATTAACCAATTCCTAATCGTTTAGACAAGTTTTCAATAACGCCAAATTAGTTCTCAGTAATTTTGAACGACTTGTAATATCTTTGGAGTAATTTTAAAACATTTAGACAAGTTTTAAATTATTACCAATGCGTTCTTAATCACTTTGAGCAACATTTTCAAGTTGTAAACGTCTTTTGAACAACTTTAGATGCAGTTTTTAATGGTTTTCAACAACTTAGAATGGTAAGGAACCAGTTTATAATCATTAAGACAAATTTTTAAGGACACCAAATTAGTTTTCAGTAATTTTTGGACGACTTGTAATACCTTTGGAGTAATTTTAACACATTTAGACAAGTTTTGGTTGATTACCAATTAGTTTTTAATCACATTGGACAACCTTTCCATGTTGTATATGCGTTTTTAACAGTGAATGTGCAGTGAATGTTATATTTGAGGTTATATTTTCATAAACGTCAAGTTGAAATTAAAGAAATCTCCATGACAACCAGGTTGGGTAACAACGAAATAATTAAAAAAACTAAATTTGACATTCAAGTATAAAATTTGACGTTAAAATTCAAATTTGAGGTTATATTTTCATAAACGTCAAGTTGAAATTAAAAAAATCTCCATGACAACCCGGTTAGGTAACAACGAAATAATTAAAAAAGCTAAATTTGACATTCAAGTATAAAATTTGACGTTAAAATTTAAATTTGAGGTTATATTTTTATAAACGTCAAGTTGAAATTAAAGAAATCTCCATGACAACCAGGTTAGGTAACAACGAGATAATGAAAAAAACTAAATTTGACATTCAAGTATAAAATTTGACGTTAAAATTCAAATTTGAGGATATATTTTCATAAACGTTAAGTTGAAATTAAAGAAATCTCCATGACAACCAGGTTAGGTAACAGCGAAATAATTAAAAAAACTAAATTTGACATTCAAGTATAAAATTTCACGTTAAAATTTAAATTTGAGGTTATATTTTCATAAAAGTCAAGTTGAAATTAAAGAAATCTCCATGACAACCAGGTTACGTAACAACGAAATAATTAAAAAAAACTAAATTTGACATTCAAGTATAAAATTTGACGTTAAAATTTAAATTTGAGGTTATATTTTCATAAACGTCAAGTTGAAATTAAAGAAATCTCCATGACAACCAGGTTACGTAACAACGAAATAATTAAAAAAACTAAATTTGACATTCAAGTATAAAATTCAAACATAAATTTGGTTATATTTTTTTTTTCAAGGAACAATAATCCATAAATTACAAGGAGAAGACCCCGATAACGATCGTTTAAAATTTGGAATTCGATTTCAATCCGGAAGTGAAGTCATCCGAATCGAAAATATCTCAGATAACGAAGCTAACATTATTTTAGATCAAGAATTAGATAGAGAAGTAATTATATTTAAAATCGCTTCGAAAAAAAGTTTTTATAAATTAATTTTTAGACACGCGATGAATACGCTTTAGTTTTAACTTTAACGGATGGGAAACTTGGCTCGAATAACTTCATCACTCAAAGTCTATTGATCCTCGTTGAAGATGTTAACGACAACGTTCCAATTTTCAAACCGTATCAACCCTCAATAACACTTCGTGAAGATTCAAAACCGGGTATGGTAACAACTTTAGAAGCTACCGATGCGGATGAAGGAGCTTACGGTCAAGTCGTTTATTATTTACAACAATCAGACGAAAATTTATTTTCAATCGCGACCAGTATGGGGAAAGGAATCATCAAATTAATCGGCTCTTTGGATTACGAACGACAAACTTTGCATCAAGTTAAAGTTTTAGCGATTGATCGAGCGAAACAAGGTCGAATTAATACCGGAACGGCGGCTGTTGTTATTAAAGTTGAAGATGTTGATGATCGCCCACCCGAATTCGTTAGGGTACTTCCGGTGGCGAGAATTTCCGAGGGGGTTCCGATTGGAACCGCGGTTATGCAAGTAAAAGCAATCGATGGGGATCGAGGAATCAACAATTCAATCGGTTATAGCATCGGAAAATTAACAGAAACTAAATTTCAATTATTCGAAATTGAGAAAATGACTGGAATCATTTTTACGAATAAAATTTTAGACAGGGAAGCGTATCATTCAACATCAGCAGCTCATATTTTACAGATAACTGTAAGTTTTTCGCCTTATAATTCAAATCTCATTAATATTTTTTAGGCAACAGAAATTGGGAGCAAATTAAAACCAGCGCCGTCAACTCAAACAGAAGTTACCATAATAATCTCTGATTTAAACGATGAAACCCCAACGTTTAGAAGCAAAAAATATAATTGCGAAATTCCCGAAAATTCGCCAACAAACACTCCAGTAACTTTCTTAGAAAAAGGAATCCCTGAAGTTTACGATTACGACCAGGTAAATTTGAATCAAAAAACTAAAACGATTTTAAGGATAATCGTTTTTTCTTTTAGGGTAATAACGGAACCTTTAATTTATTTCTAAAAGGGGCCGAAACAATTTTCGAAATAACTCCAAATAAAGTAACCAACGAAGCAACGTTTATGATCCGAATCAAAGATCCAACCATTTTAGACTACGAACAAATTAAAGAAATCAATTTTACAATAATCGCAAAGGAAATCGTTAAATACAAACCCAAATATTCCGAGGTTCCCGTTAAAGTGACGATTTTGGACCGCAACGATAATTACCCCGAATTCGTAAAAAGTTCTTACGAAGTTTCTGTCCAGGAAAACTGCGAAATTGGAACAACCGTCGCTTGGGTTCAAGCTTTAGATGGAGATAGCGGAAATTATGGCACTAAAGGGGTTCGATACACGAATTTATCTGGAAGCATCGAAAATTTGTAAGATTCATATTCACTAAAATAATTGACGTTGACGTTTGTGTTTTAACGACATCTATGAATTTTAAATTAAATCTTTTTTTTAATTAAAAGAATTAAAAATTAAGAAAGATTTTGGTTAAGAACGTTATTCAATTAATTCAATTAGTTAAAATTTAAAAAAATTTAATATAAATGCTATTACGTTAAATAATTAAAATAATTTTATTTTAATTCTATCGCACTTGCGCCATCTCTTAGATTTGAATTGAACTAACTTACACATTTTATTTTTAGTTTTTCTTACCTAAACTTTATTAAAATCAATAAAAATTGATATTACCATAAAAAAGATTATTCAAAATAATGCTCCATAAAACACTTAATTTTCCATAATTTTATTTTAATTCTATCGCACTTGCGCCATCTCTTAGATTTAAATTGAACTAACCTACACATTTTATTTTTAGTTTTTCTTACCTAAACTTTATTAAATTCAATAAAAATTGATAAACTTACGTAATATTACCATAAAAAAGATTATTCGTAATAATGCTCCATAAAACCCTTAATTTTCTGTGAGATTCAATTCATTATTAGATGTTGCCAATCACTTATCTTATTTAACCACTTCATTATTACAACTTTCCGGGGATTTTGTTCATTTTAACTTAATTAATTAACTAGTTTTAATGGGCGAAAATCTACCCGAAACTTTAAAACACCACTTTTTAACTGTTCTCAACTTTTTAGCTTTTGTCGTTGACAGTTACTTAGTTGCGCCATCTATTAACGCGAAATCCGACAAGTTTGATACCTATTTTTATTATCCAGATGTAAAAGATAAGAGTTTAGTCAATAGAAACGATGTAATAATGAAGTTAAAGTCGCCAAAAAATCTAAGAAGAAATCGATCGTCATTTAATGATTTACCAAAGATTCGAATAAGTCCAATCCGATACACGAACCTTTCTGGAAGCATCACAGAACGCGCCATCTCTTGGATTTAAATTGAACTAACCTATACATTTTATTTTTAGTTTTTCTTATCTAAACTTTATTAAATTCAATAAAAATTGATAAACTTACGTTATATTATCATAAAAAAGATTATTCGTAATAATGCTCCATAAAACACTTAATTTTCCATAATTTTATTTTAATTCTTTCGCACTTGCGCCATCTCTTAGATTTAAATTGAACTAACCTACACTTTATTTTTAGTTTTTCTTACCTAAACTTTAATAAATTCAATAAAAATTGATAAACTTACGTAATATTATCATAAAAAAGATTATTCGTAATAATGCTTCATAAAACGCTTAATTTTCTTTGAGATTCAATTCATTATTTGATATTACCATTCACTGATCTTATTTAACCACTTCATTATTACAACTTTCCGGGGATTTTGTTCATTTTAACTTAATTAATTAACTAGTTTTAATGGGCGAAAATGTATTCGAAACTTTAAAACACCACTTCTTAACTTGTCTCAACTTTTTAGTTTTTTTCGTTGACAGTTACTAAGTAACGCCATCTATTAACGCGAAATCCGACAAGTTTGATACATATTTTTATTATTCAGATGTAAAAGATGAGAACTTAGTCAATAAAAACGAAGTAATAATGAAGTTAAAGTCGCCAAAAAATTTAAGAAAAAACCGATCGTCATTTAATGATTTACCAAAGATTCGAATAATAAGTCCAATTCGATACACGAACTTTTCTGACACAGAACAGTAGTATAGCGCCATCTCTTGGATTTAAATTGAACTAACGGAAGCATTTTATTTTTAGTTTTTCTTACCTAAACTTTATTAAATTCAATAAAAATTGATAAACTTACGTAATATTACCATAAAAAAGATTATTCGTAATAATGCTTCATAAAACGCTTAATTTTCTTTGAAATTCAATTCATTATTTGATATTACCATTCACTGATCTTATTTAACCACTTCATTATTACAACTTTCTGGAGATTTTGTTCATTTTAACTTAATTAATTAACTACTTTTAATGGGCGAAAATGTATTTGAAACTTTAAAGCACCACTTCTTAACTTTTCTCAACTTTTTAGTTTTTGTCGTTGACAGTTACTAAGTAGCGCCATCTATTAGCGCGAAATCCGACAAATTTGATATCTATTTTTATTATTCAGATGTAAAAGATGAGAGCTTAGTCAATAGAAACGATGTAATAATGAAGATAAAGTCGCCAAAAAATCTAAGATGAAATCGATCGTCATTTAATGATTTAGTAAAGATTAGAATAAGTCCAATTCGATACACGAACCTTTCTGACACAGAACGCCAAGTAGTATAGCGCCATCTCTTGGATTTAAATTGAACTAACCTACGCATTTTATTTTTAATTTTTCTTACCTAAACTTTATTAAATTCAATAAAAATTGATGAACTTACGTAATATTACCATAGAAAAGATTATTCGTAATAATTCTCCATAAAACACTTAATTTTCCATAATTTTATTTTAATTCTATCGCACTTGCGCCATCTTTTGGATTTAAATTTAACTAACCCATAAATTTTATTTTAGTTTTTCGTACAACTTTAATAAATTGAATAGAAATTGATAAACTTACGTAATATTAATTAATTCAATTAGTTAAAATAAAAAAAATCTAATATAAATTCTATTACGTTAGATAATTAAAATAATTTTATTTTAATTCTATCGCACTTGCGCCATCTCTTAAATTTGAATTGAACTAACACATTTTATCTTTAACTTTTCTTACCTAAACTTTAATAAATTCAATAAAAATTGATAAAGTTAAGTGATATTGCCATAAAAAAGATTATTTGTAATAATTCTCTATAAATACTTAATTTTTCATAATTTTATTTTAATTCTTTCGAACTTGCGCCATCTCTTGGATTTAAATTGAACTAACCTACACATTTTATTTTTAGTTTTTCTTACCTAAACTTTATTAAAATCAATAGAAATTGATAAACTTACGTAATATTACCATAAAAAAGATTATTCAAAATAATGCTCCATAAAACGCTTAATTCTCCTTGAGATTTAATTCATTACTAGATGTTACCAATCACTGATCTTATTTAACCACTTCATTATTACAACTTTCTGGAGATTTTGTTCATTTTAACTTAATTAATTAACTAGTTTTAATGGGCGAAAATGTATTTGAAACTTTAAAGCACTACTTTTTAACCGCTCTCAACTTTTTAGCTTTTATCATTGACAGTTACTAAGTGGCGCCATCTATTAACGCAAAATACAAGTTTGATACCCATTTTTATTATCCAGATGTAAAAAATGAGAGCTTAGTCAACAAAAACTATGTAATAATGAAGTTAAAGTCGCCAAAAAATCTAAGAAGAAATCATTTAATGATTTACCAAAGAGATATCCAATCGAATAAGTCCAATCCAAGTAAAACAGTTTTCTTTTATCTTATATTGCTCGAATTCACCACTACGAAAGGCGAATTTCGATTTCTATAAATTTTAAAACATTATTTACATTCACCCCACACGCCGGGTAAATTCTTGCTTTGATAATGGTATATTAAATTTTGTAGAATTTTTTTGGTTATGGAAGGATATTTTGCAAAAGCGCCATCTATAATCACTTTCAATAACTTATTTAAATTCTGTATTTTTAGGTTATATCTTCATCCAACAACAGGAATAATAACAGTAAAACAACCTGGTGGTCCAAATTTTGATCGGGAACAAATTCAAAGACATTATCTAACTGTGGAAGCTCGAGATAATCTCGGAAATGGTAACAGAAATACCGTCCAATTAATCGTAAACATTGAGGATTTAAACGATAACCCCCCAATTTTTACTCAAAGTTTGTATGAAGCTCGCTTATTGGAAAATCGAAACGATTTTGAGAAACCTTTAAAAGTTGAAGCGAGGGATGCTGATTTAACAGGAACCAACAACAGCTTAGTTGAGTACCTCCTTCTTGGGGAATACGCAAATAATTTTACAATCCACTCGTTATATGGGATAATCACCCCAAAAGAACCGTTGGATTTTGAGAAAATCCCCGGAATTTCTTCAGAAAATATTCGATTAATAAAGCTTTTAGTGAAAGCAAGTGATTTTGGGGTTCCAAAATTATCGAGCGAGATTCCTTTAACGATTTATTTACAAGACGTTAACGATTACCCCCCAATTTTTGAAAAAAACTTTTATAACACATCGATTAAAGAAAACATTCAAGGTGGAACCACAATTTTAACAATTTCCGCAAAAGATTTCGACGGATCTTACCCAAACAATCACATTTTTTATCGAATTCAAGACGGAGCTTTCGATAAATTCACAATTAATTCGGATTCCGGAACAATTTCTGTTTCGAGAGGTGCAATTTTAGATCCAGATTTAACCGAACCAAAAAGAACTAAATACTCATTAACAGTGGTAGCTTTAGATGGAGCTTCCGGTGATAATCAACTTCAAACTCAAGTTCAAGTCAACATCACCATTTTAGACGTGAATAATAAAGCTCCGATTTTATCCGATCCGGGAATTATCGAGATTCCAGAAAATTTAATGCCAGGAAGTGTTATCACTAAAATATCTGCAATTGATTTTGATTCAAATCCTGAAATAAAATATATTTTAGATGGGGAAAATTGTAAAGGAGAAAATGAGAGGGGTTTTTATTTAAGTAATGAAGATTTTGATTGCGAAAATAGTTTTGTTTTGGATGAAGAAACGGGAATTTTAAGTATTAATAGGATTCTCGATAGAGAAATCGTGGAAATTATTAAATTGGGGATAAAAGCGGAGGATGTTGCTTCCGAAAACGGACCACAAATAGCGAAAGCGATTTTAACCGTTTTAATTAAAGACGCAAATGATAATAACCCAAAATTTCGCCAACCTTTTTATAGATTTAGCATCCAAGAAAATAGTAAGAGTGGCGTTTTAATCGGAAATGTGATTGCCGATGATCCGGATAAAAATAAATCGATTATTTACGATTTAGAAGCCAGGAAAGAAATTTTAAAATTGATTAGTTTAAATAATAAAACTGGGGATTTGTTTGTTAAGAGTAGAATTGATCGGGAAGTTTACGATTGGTTAAATTTAACTGTTAAAGCGACGGATTCCGGGCATCCCCCACGACATGCAAGAACCGAAATTTTTGTACAAATTTTAGACGAAAACGATAATAATCCGTGTTTTTTAAACGACCCAAGAGTGCTTATGGTTCCGGAAGACACCGAGGTTAACCGAAAAATCGCCATCATCGAAGCTCGAGATTCAGATTCGGGTGAATTTGGGAAAATTACTTATTTACTTGATCGATCATCATCGGAGGTTTGTTTTTTTTTCTTTTATGTACAGTGTGTTAATTAATTGGACCGCGTTATGCATCACTTGACTAAGCGATAAATTAACAATGTTGAAAAAAATCATCTCTCTATTGAAAACTATTGAAAAACTTCAGCTATAAAACTTTTATTACATGATAACTAACTTCAGGTTTAAAATGTCAACCTCAATTTTGACATATTTGAAATGTTCATTAAAAATCCTTTAAAATGAGTACAAACACGACATATTTATCTTCAATATTAATGAAGTTATGGTCAACTTCCGGTTAAGAATGTCAACGTCAATTTTGACATATTTGTAATCGTCATGAAAAATCCTTTAAAATGAGTCCAAACATGATACGTTTAATTCGAATATTACTCGAGATATAAGCAACTTCCGGTTTGAAATGTCAATGTCATTTTGACATATTCTTAATTTTTATAAAATGTCAAAATT